GTCTAATAAACCCCAGGAAAATGGTCTTCAATGAAGTCAGTCTAAAAGCATAAAACAGAGACTAAAAGTGGCCCTAAGCAAGACTCTTAAGGGACACCAGTTTAGATCAAATTTTTCTGACAGAATATCGTGACAGAGTACCAGGAAACAGGTTGGCTCCTACCAGATAAATATGATGAAAACCAGGCCAGAACTTTGCCAGAGATACCAACTTTGGCAAAATGACATGCTGAAAGTTTTTTTTTAGCAGTATATCATTTTTTGACCTTCAGGAGAGCTGTCTTGGTGCTCCGAGTGATACTTCTGGTAAGATTATTGAGAGTCTGGAAACAGAGAATGTCTGCACACGTGGGAGTAAAGTTGATCACACACAGCTGTCTCTGTCAATTTAAAAATGAATGGTAGATTACTAATTGATCGATAATTTCCTAAAATTGGATCAAAGTTATCTTTCTTCAGCAAGGCACGGACCAAAGCTTCTTTCCAGTCCCTTAGAAACACACTAGATTCTAAGAATTGATATTTCTGGTAATAATCAGTAGCAAGACATCAAGGCAATCGCTCACCAGCTTAGTATAGGCACTGGATCCCAATCACATGATTTCTTTGTGGACTTCAAAGGTTTTTCTACCTGTTGTGGAATCTTGAGTGTCTAATTTGATGTCATACAAAATACAATGAGCTGAGGCTGACTTGAGGATAGGAACCAGGCTGTCATGCACCATGCATGCACACACAAGTTATGTGTTCCCTGCATCCACGCTTCTGACCTTTAACCTATGGTATGTGGACTAAGAGCGTCTTACATCACAGAATTAGGGGTGGTCCCTTGGAGAACGAATGGCACTGAATACTACACCTGTGACCTAGTTAGTGGTTGATATTGGTCAAACAGAATGCTACAACTCAGACGCTGATTCAGCCTGGTACTGGAATGACAAGTTCTGATTGTTGTGGCTAATGCTAAATTATCAAGTCTAACATGGATATTAGATATTATCTTCTCAAAAAAGCTACCCATTTCTTTGCAAAGAGACAGTTTACTGGAGTACAGTGGAAAGGAACATCATTAGTATACTTCAGTAGCTTTTTCGATGCTCTGAATAACTTCACTTGATTGGAACTATTACTGTCAATGAATTCTTGGTAAAAATTGCAACAGGCTTCTTTCATTTGGAAGGTGGCCTTATTTCTTTGAATCTTGTAATCTAAAAGATCACACACCTTATCAGTACACAGCCACTTTCTTTCTTTCCGCCTTTCTCTTCTGTGTCAGTGCTGACAGGGGAGGCAGTTTCTTGTAAGTTACAAAGAACAGACAAGTGATCAAAGAAAAGATAATGTGGAGTTGGAGGACTTTCCAAAACAGTTTCTGATTGATGAGTAATACGTGTTGCTTAAGACCCATACATTGAAGAAGCACAAAAAAATGATTAGTATTGGGGTTGTCAGGAATGTCAACATGAATATTGAATCACTGGTTTTTACAACTGGTTCAGGAGATAAGACAATTGATTCCAAATACATGTAGTTGGCAAAACTCACTGACAAACTGACTGATTGTAAAAGGATGGTCAACAGCGTAAGATGGTCTATAGATAATCACCAATCATAGTTTGTTGGAATTTGCAACAGACCATTCTGAATACTCGAATATGTCCACTTCCCCTCCAGCAATATTCTTAACATGAAGATGTTCTCTGAAAACTAAAGCAGTTCCTCCCCAAACTCAAGTCTTCTGAGAATGATCAAATGATCTAAAACCAGGAGTAACTTCAACCTTCAACTTTCTGTAAGTCATGTCTCAGTGACAGCAAACAGATCAGTTTTGCTGTTAATAGCATATGCAACAAAATCAGCCGATTAATATTTTAGAGATCTAGCATTCAAGATACAAAGTTATACAGGATGTTCAGAGACCTCCATAGGTTGTACCGTAATACACATACATGTACATGTACTTTCAACAAGCTGAATCTTGGTGGAGGATGAGGAACCACCTGAAGAGTAGATATGATGGTCCAGATGGTGGGAAAAGAATGGAATCAACCTGATACACAATGAATACAATGAATTCCCTTGTGCTTACCTGTGGAACCTCGACTGTGTTTGATTTGATGCTCACATGACATCTTGCACTTACTCATCAAGTTGGTTACTTTGTCAGGTATCCCAGAATACAAAGTAAACAACATGGCAGCTTTGTGCAATGTTGCAGAGGAAAGCTGACAAAATTGTAAATAATTCAGATACATAGTTGGGTGAGGTAGCAGATCGACTCAAATTGATTTCTGTGAAAGAAAGGTAAGAAATGTCTTTAGATGTTTGTTGCTTTTGACCATTTGGATTAATGTTGCAAATTTAATTGATGTATGATCTCTTGACCTGGTTGAGCACTAGAGCAACCTGATATCATTTTGTTTATTACCACCTATTGCATATGGCTGCCTAAACCTATGACAACACAAAAGGTAAGTGTGAAGGAAGTAATCAAACTTACTGATAATAAAGCACACAGAACTTTCCCTGACAAAAATCAAAACAAGAATGCAAAGTACAAACACTGCTGCGAACTGCCTGCTGAGTGTATATATAAAGTGACTAGAAACTAAGCTAAAAAGCTAGGCAGCATTTATTAATAACAAACATGATTGAGCTATCACAAGTTTGAAAGGATCACCCCCATCGTGATACATAACTCTTCATTCATGGACTGCTTTCATTCCCTGACCATTGGCAAAAGGAAGTAGGCCAAGAGTGTAAAAGTACAGAAGTAAAATCATAGGAATCTGTTCATGTACCTCCAGCACAGCTTATCCCTCATTTACTGCCGAGATGATTCACTCAATGCTTGGCTGTCAGAGTGAGTAAGAAGTGCTGGACTCTAGCCCAAAAAAAGACTGGGTAGATTAAGTTAGTTTATATGAGATCATAATTGTGTGTCATTCATACAATTCATGGGTAATAATTAAAGAGATGACGAGAACCATTATTCAGGTAAATGATTTCCCAATCACCCCCCCTGACTTATAGAGACAGGAATGGAACACGAACAGGAAAGAAGACAAATACTACAGTGTTTGTTAAATTGTTATCAAAAAGGTGAAGCAATTGCTATTTCTTCAGATGTACATAAAAGCTGATTGTGATTGACAGAATCTGGAACTAACTTGAATGCAGTTGAATGACAAGGGTTTCAGATTTATCTGTGTATTCTGATAAACAAGGCGAGCCTTAAACAAGCTTTTGCTTTTTAAGTTTTACTGCTTCTTCTTTAATAATCTTCCGATATGTATTTTAATAATGTAATATGCCTCACCATGAAGAGGAAATTAAGGGGACTATTGTTTGTCGTTTTGTCACACTATATACTACAGACAAGATTTCGTGATATGATAATGTAAGTAGACTTGTATGTTCTGATTATCTTTGCTGTAATTTACCCTTGCATAATATTTGTTCCATATTTCATTTTCCTTGTAAGAAGTCTTACATGTACCAGTACAACAGGCAGTTTCATCTTGCTTTGTCCTGACAAAATCCAAAAGAGTTCTATCATCACATGCTCGAATGCAACCTCTGAATGCAAGCCTAAGTGTACGCCAGCATGACTCATACCACAGTCACTCCGTCAGTAAATTAAACTTGTAATCTTGCATGCTGTTTCCATGCCAACATTCTCCCCCTCCAATAATTTACAGCAATTTACTGTAAACATCCGGAAAGAGGGCATCCTCTATGTGTAATGCACTTTTTTCTTGCTATTAAATTGTGTGATTTAATTATTCATATTACAATATTTGTATTACAAACAAATCAGTTTTTGTTTTTTTCTATACTAATTGTATTTATTTATTTTTTTCACTTTTTTTTACTTTTTTCTTTCAGATATCAAACTGGTATTGAATTTGAGGGGTATTTGGAAATTAAAAACACATTAGGCCTTTGTTTAGGATATTATGCATGTTAATGTTACTAGTATTTTTCACTCTTGATTTAGAAGTAGGCTTTGGATAAACTGTATTCCCGTGTCATCCACCTTGAATTGAAAGTTGACTTCTAATTTTGGGAAACTGAGAGCCAAATTAAGATCAGTGAAATGTTACTTTGTTGCAAAAACTATATTTAATTGTTTCAAGCCACATATTAAAATCCATACTAATGGGGTTTCCCAAAATAGTCTTGTTAACAGAATACATTGAATATGAAGGATTTGGAACAAGATTGAAATAGCTTCTCCATGAATAAGGTCTATCAAAATAAGTTACATATATGCAGGTTCATGCCCACTAATCTGAACACTTCATATTTCTTTGTGAATGGTACATAAACACAAAATACAAAGCAAAAAAAAGAAGGTCAGAAACTAAAGCTCTCACTACACTCAACATAACATACCATCAAAAGAGAAGTTGATTCCATAAACCATGTCAAACTAGAGCAGCATTTTGGCGTGGTCTACTGTGAAGCAAGGATGAAGTTGTTTTTGCGAAGTGGTCACCATCAAGTGAATAGGGTCAAGGAGTTCAGACTCCACTTATATTAAGATTGAATGGTTCGCACAGTGACTATAACAATTAAGAGACAACATTGGTCCCAGTACAGCATCTCTCACAAGTCCATGAATCTACTCCAGTTTTGAGTGCATTGGAAAGGGATGTTAGTAGCCCAGGCTTGCAATTGTCACTTTTGTAACTTTTGTGTACTCGGGTAATTCCAGAAATTAGGTATCCGATTTTTTGTGTGTCCCTGTCACATCCGACATATGACTTAGTAAGTTCAGAACACATTTTCTAATTTCCAAGAGTGATGAATGCAAATTACCTGCCAAACAAATAGTAATTATTTGAAATCAATTCTTGTGATATTTCTGTCAAATAACAAAGGTCAGATGTAACAGGGATACATAAATGTCACACGTTTAGACCCCTAATTTCTGGAATTACCCACTCCTATTTCTAAGTAAAAAATCACACAACACTGAAAGTTAGACTGATGGAGTTTGTTTATAATTACATAGTAATTTTAATTAAGGATTTCACCTTATCTGACTTATATTCCTTAATATTGTATACTCAGTACTTGTCCAAGAGCTTGAGAAAAAAATTCACAAGCCTACTTAGGTGGGAATCAAACCTATGACCTCCTGCTTATAGTGTACACATCTTAACTACTCGACCACCGAGCTTGCTGGGGTCAGTTGGCCAGTCCAAGTCAGATGTAGCAGCCAGTACCGCAAACTACCATATCTCAAGGTGTAACATTAAATTCTCCCTGATGCAAACAGTACATCTTGAAATAGTTTGTGGTACCCGCTGCTACATCAAACATCTTGTTTTAAAGAGGGGTTCTATCTAGAACATCAGATAAAACATACTAAAGTGTAATTGAGTAGGACATAATTTATTTTAATCTACATGCATGTATATCTGTCATTTACTGACCTGCCTTGAAATCACAAATCATTACACTAAGAGTTTACAGATGAGAATAAATGTTGAGATAAAGGGCAATACTTTGTAAATAAACACTACAAATAGTCTACAAGTAATGTGAATCCCAGAAATGCCACAGATACCAAAGGTACTGGCTCTTATTATGCTCCAAATGCTGACAATTTCAGTGCAATATTTCAGTATTGGAGCCAGCTATGTGGCCAACAATTCCCGAGTGGTTGGTCTACATGAGGTCTTACTAAACCCAAAGGGAGTCTGAATTTACAAAAACTGCTCTGCTATTAACATGAAACAAAATTATCAATAATGTTTTTATCTGCAAGTGTGACTGGTATTTTCTCCCGCTGTGCAGTATTAACAGTAAAAATGTGACCACAAGTATCATTTTAATCAAATCTAAACTTTTTTTTTGCAAGTGAAATTTAATTTAAGTGACAAAACATGAACTTCGTTTTCCAACATGTTTCAGTGAAAGGAAGTCATAGATTCAAGTACATTTCACATGAAATTCCTGGTAGAATTGTTAGACAGAGGTGCCACTTAATGTGCACATACTAGTATGAATATAGCTCTACTGAAAATACATGTAGGCAAAACACACTATCTTTATGTCCAAAAATCTGTTCCTCCTGAATTGTGAAACTTCAAACAATTTGATTTGGTCATTATAATTATCGTCAGCCTTTGGCGTTCAGACTTGAAACTATGCCTTTTTCTATCCTGTTTTGTCAGTCTACTACTTGCACAAACCAAATTATCTCTTAAACGTCAAACAAGAGGAAAAATCTGTAGCTGATGTTTGACTGAAGTTTTGAAAATGTTCTTTGCATGTTTCTTCTAATCACAGATTACCTCTTCCACTTTACTGAACATAACATGGAGTAGGAATTGAAACAGTACATGTATGCAGGTCTTCGCCTTAGGCTTTTTTAACTACCCATCAGGCAAGTTAACATATGTTTCACTTGCCTGCAGGAACTTTTACTGGCCTACGGGACCTTTTTGGCAAAACTTACTTAGACCGGCTTTTTTCATTTCATTATTTGAACTTTTACTGTGGAGTCTTGCTCTCAGTTTTAAAACTTAGAAATGGAGGATTCAAAACCGTTACAATCAATAATAACATGCACAATCAATTTCACAATGTTTGTTTCATTCATCTTTACTAATATGACAAATGACAGTTTCAAACTGGTCAGTATTCCTTTACTAGCTGGGCAAGTTAATGTATATTTTCACTAGCCAGTAGCAGTTTCTACTAGAATTTGTATGCAGGTCTAGTGCTTGGGTTGAAGCCTGATGTACCGGTAGGTACAACTCTCACATTTTTGGATCCCAATTCAAAGGGAAGATAATTTGCCACTGTCATATTCTGTGGTTAATTTACTCTCTATGGCTGATGTCTGAAAAACTGTTGTACCTTCTGCATGTTTTTGGCCAGTATCTTATACACAGAATCACGAAAGGCTCGGTTCATTAATCCATAAATGGCAAAATTCCACCAACTGTTAGACATGGCCACCCAAGCTGATGTGAACTGCAACCATACAGGGTAGTTGACTGAGTGGATAAGAATGAGGAAAAGCTCTATAAAATACAGCAGCCAGCTGACTGCAAATGCAAACGTGATGGTACTGAAGACAAAGACTGCTTTACCACGTACTGCGACCATCCAAGACACTCGTTGTTGGTTGTGATCAGTGGTTGGCCCTGTGGCTGGTGCTGCTCCAATAAGCCTGAGTCTTCGTGACTGGCTAAAACTGATCATAAGGAGACGCACATTGCAAACAATAACCACCACTAGTGGTATGAAATAACTAACCAAGCTGATATAGATAGCTGTTGGTGCATCATAGCGCTCCAATCTGGAAAGCACTGTACTACGCTCAAAAGAAACTTTATTGATACAACAAAGTACAAGTCCTGACAAGACAAACCCAACACATGTTAAGGATAACATGATACCAACTCTCCTTTTAGTAATGAGGCTTGCATGACGGAAAGGTCTTGTGACTAGTATGAAGCGATCTACATTTAAACAAAGTAGAATGACTGCTGAAATTGATGTCAATGTGTGGAGACAAAAATAATGAAAATACTGCAGCCAACTGGGGAAAGGCCAATGTCCTTTGACCTCACAGATGAATGACAGGAGAGCCACAGGAGAAACTCCAAGATCTGACAGAGCCAGGGTAATCATCAAAAGTTTGGTACTCTCTGAAAAATCATCAACACTGCGAGTCACAAGTATGGTTAATGTGTTGAATGTCAAGGTAGCCAAGAAATCCAAGAAAATGTAGCTAGCTCGGAAGACAACTGACCAGGTGTCCAGGTTCAAAAAGTCTCCAGATTCATTAGTGACTGGAATCACTGATGACATGTTGCTGTTATTGAAGAAAGCCATATTGCATCAATGGGCAAGCTACTCCTCAGTTTGTGAAGTCTGATGAGTGTATCATCCCTGTGCTTCGTGCTAGAGTTATGAAGCTACATGTGTGATAGCCCGTCCAGACTGAAATCTTATTCTGGTCACGTTTCAGGCAGACCTGTTTGAGTTTAAAGTACATAAGCATGGCCATTTTGGCTTAATAAAGTGCCGTAATCCATTTGCTTTGACTTCTTCTAGAATACAGCAACAATCTCCGCAATGGGATATGTAATTTGCAGGCACGTGGTTGCTAGTAGACACGTTTTGATTTGATTCACAAACAGTCACTCTATCAGAAAAAAAGCAGTTTGCTGACTTGTTCTCCCATCAATCTAGATTGAAACTGAGATTGAAGACACTGTCTTCCGCTTCCTTGGAAACTGCATTAGTTAAGTATCCAAGCAGAGGTTTAATTAATACTGCCTCTTCAAGATAAGCCAGTCACTTAACATGTGAGAATGTTTGCTTCCTTCACTGTGCCTGCAAGACTCATGCACATACAATGTATGTACTTTGCTTCCAGTAACACTAACCTGTCACGAAATGGCAACATCAGCATTAGAAGGTCCCCAAGGAATTTCCTATCTAAATAATTACTGGCATGCTTTGGATTGCATCAACAACTTGCATCCACAAACACTATTTGTCCTTCTTTGTCCATGAAGATATTTCACATTTTATAAACTATAAAGTGCCAAACAGATGCGCAGTAATTGATACTGCTTACCCATTTCATGAAGCAGCATCCTCAGTCCTGCCTGGTCAGCTTAAAGTTAACACTTTACTGAAGGTAAGCTAGTACTTTCCCCGAAGGTAAGCTTTCCATCTAACCAAATCTATCCAAACAAAATATGCATGAGTCAACAGAGTTCCCGAATTGCAACAGCTGATGTCAATTTTTCATCAGAAGAGGATTAGTATTTTCTCTTCGTAAGGTGCATTTTAGACTTTGACAACTTCATTATCTTTAGTTGAAGGAATAACATCTTTGATCAATCATGTCAAATCCCAAGTCTAAAACACTTCCATATCGATGAAGATACTCCTAAGTCAGCCAGCCAGCATATCATCCTGCTTGCTCCTGATCCAGCATCATTACACACTGTAGCAAATATCTTCACTGTAGTTCCTGACTTCTCACACAGATGACCTCCCCCTTGACCACACAGTAAATACTTAACCTTCTAGAAGCAGCATCTTGTATTAGTTGATTTCCCTGCTGGATTGTGACTGATTACAAGCAAACTAACAGTCCCATCCAGTATTTCCAAAACAAGCACAAGCCATCTTGACAAAACATTTACTAAATTGGCTGGAGGTTGTCCTTAAGTGGAAACTGCATAGTTTCAGGAAGCAGTACTCTGTTTTTTCAGTGACAAGCAATGGCGATATTTTTCTGAGACTGAAATTGGGAGCGATTGACGTATTGTGTTTCTAACAATGATTTGTTGCTTGATAATCCAATTAAAGTCTACATATATAGCTCTCTGACATGATGGTAGTCTCGTATCTTATTTTCCTGTAAACATATCGTATTCTTATTAAAGTCATCTTTTTTCAAACTCTGATTTTCTCAAACTTGCTGAACAAGCTCCTTCAGTGGTTGAGCTCTATGGAATTCAAAGCTGGTGAACTGAACAAGGTAAACATTTTGTTGCCAGGGTGCCATTGCTAGCACCATGACAACTAGGTAACTTGAGTAGATTTATAACCCTTTGGTTGAGACTAGTAATGAACTAAATGGAATTCAATCCAATCCCTAGTGGACTACTGTGGCTGACCATTTATATTCAACACTACTTTCAGAGAACAGTACATGTAATGAGATTAACTGGAAATGGCTGAATGGCTGATACCTCGAAGCAAGAAATTTTAAGGGTAAAACGAAACATTAATCAAGGAGCTTTGCATGGCAAGAGCTTCTTGATTGATGTTTAATAAACCTTGCTCTTTTAGTTTAACCTACATGTACAATAAAATCAACTGAAGCATTACATCAATTTTACTACTTTGTAGTACGTGCCTATCTTTTGAGTTTCTGACTTAAAGTTATAACCCAACTAAAAGGTGGGCATTAAGACAACATGAATTAAAAAACCTTGATATAACATGACAAAACTAATTGGACTCCTGATTATATTGTATCAGGGTGAAAGAAGTTTAAAAACATGACTTTGCTCTTCACCTCTACCATATCTGTGCTGGTTGTCTTGTGCTGGAGCTTCTAGCTCAGCCTAGCAATATCTGAGGTAAAGGCAACAGCACAAGTTAGCAAGACAGCTTGGGTTCAAACCTAACTTCAGTTTGACCTTTGACGTATTTACAAAATATCAGAAACAATTGCAGAGTATCATATATGAAAGTTATGAGAGCTTGGTCACTTTGTGCGATTGATTAAAACTCATGTAGTCCAACAAGACAACATATACAGGCATGCAACTTAGACTTTGAAAAAAAGAAAGAGGAAATTCTTATCTTCACAAGACTTTGTACAGTGTTTTTCAATTTTCAATAGCATGAGTGTGAAGTGAAAAATGAGGAAATCAGCTGATCCGAGGAAAAGTTGCATGCCTGCATATACACATGTATGATGGGGTCAAAACGCCATCCCTTTCTTCTACCTGTATTAGGCTGTGCCCTGCAAGCTTTAAAGGTCAGCATTAAAACACACAGTTACCAGTATGACTTAAGTCCAAACACCTGGCAATATCATATTATTTTTCAAATAAAAAGAAACCTTTGTATCATAAAATAATGTTCTTTTTGCACAGTGCATAATCCTCTTTCCAAAGGAGCTGAAAATGATCAATCAAGTCACTGATAAATTCTTGCCACCCATTACAAAGTTTTCTGGTTGGGTAAAGCCAGGGCAAATGCAGTCTAGAAGAAAGTGCAAGAAAAAAATGAAGGTTCTAAATCCTTCATTCATTACTGGGCAAAGCTGAAGGTCACTTATATATGATGTGTGCCAGAGATTTCAATAAAACAGATTCATCAAGTCATGTTCTTAGTTCATTTCAAAGAGAGCTCAAAGAGAGAATAAGGTATATCGCATATACATATCCACATATGCCCTGTGCACTGTAAATTATAACATTGCCATGATCCAAGCTGCCTTGTTGGTTTGTGTTTCTTTCTTATATGTAAGCTACATGTGTGAGGTAAACTAAACTACATGTGTGAGGTAGTACATTAAAGAATTACAGAAATGGTGACCTGGAGGTTTGTGACATATACAACACTGAAATTAAATGTTAAACCAAAGATTTGGTACCCAGATGTTTTCCCCAATTTTCTTGAAATATGAACCTGTAAATATTTGAATGTATAAACCCCATTAGTTAGAACATGACTGCCTTTCAAGGAAGGACAAAAATATCAATTCATAGAAAAAAAAGGGAAATGCATGATGCACATCCACGGTACACAAATACACACTGAAACAACCCACGTCACTATACAGTGCAACATTCCCAGTATATGTACATCCATCAATATTTGTATGCATCTGGCATATATCAATGGCTTTCTTTTAAACTTGGACAATAATAGGCCAACACAACAGAGTGAAGAGAATTCCATGGCAAAATGAATGAAACACTGAGCTGAAAAGAGGAACTAATCATGTCGAAGGAAATTCACTGGTCCTGCAAATTGTTCCTCAGGGTTACCCTTTCATAGAAATGTTTCATCCAATTGATTGTGCAGTTGGCTGCCTTTCTCTTTTTTTCTGTAGTACTTTCCTCTTACATTTGATTCTTTGCAGAGCATCACACAATGGAAATATAAGCAGGTTCTATCTCAGTACAGACATTAGTACATTCAGGATGTCCATTGTCCAGTGTACTACTACGGGTGACAGAACTGCATTGGGCCTCATACACTTTGGTCTGTACAACAGTAAATGTACCCTACAATGACCTAATGCACCCTTCATTTTCATTGATTATTTCTCTTTTGTGAACCTACTAAAAGGGAAGTTTATATCTTCAGGTTCAATAAATTTAATGTTGGAGAAGCTAGATCATTTTACCAAAGCCAAATTTCGTAAATGCATGCAGATGAATGTGCAGGCAATTCACTTAAAATCATTCGTGGTCAACCAAGGGCCAATCGTATATAAACCCAAAAGGTCCCCTAACCCACTAGAAAACCAGTCAAGCAACATCAAACCAGGCAAGAATTGAAGAAAGGCAATGGCCTATCACTGGATGAGCATAGAGAAAGAACACAGATAACCAAGCCACAAATGAACAGCATTAAGTTTATTGACTAAGCACTAACCAATACAAACACTGGCATAATGCTCTTCTCCCTAGGGTTCCAATCTATAATTGCTTCTGTGATCTCACACACAAACATTACTGAGCAGGGTGTTAACCTAATTAAGGTGACTGGTTCCCTGAGCATATCTTTCATTACAAAACAACCCCCACAAGACCACAAATGCATAGGGTCTAGACAAATTATGTAATTCAATGTAATTATTCAATGTAAGTCGAGATATATGGATTAATGGTCATACATTCTTGCCTGTAAGATATACAGAGCACATCTACGTTTCCCCTAAAATGTAGTGTCACCTTTCCACTACTGCCTGTACTAAGTCTTCCAGAAAAGGTCACCCTCTGTGAGTGACCCCCTCAGGCAAAGTTTAGCAGTAAATTAGCTTGATCCTATGTGCCATTAATTGAACCCTAAACCACCTTTCAAACAACCTGCTTGTATGGGCAGCTAGTCCCTGAATCATAGCACTGCCTGGAGTGATGGTGGATTTCAAGTTCAAATAATCCGGTAATCTTTCCAAATTTGACCAATGGTGATTCCTTGAACCAATTCTCTGCATCAGAAAAATAACAGGTTTGGTTAGGTTTTATAGCTGGCTGGATATTTGTCATCAGACATGCATAGTCTGCCTGCAAGTAAATCTCATTCCAACTAAAGGTACAGGAAGGATTTCCAAATTCAAAGGCCACTGATGCCATAAAGGCCTTGAAGCACAGAAGACTCAGAAAACTCATTAACGTTAAGTGCCACTTGTCATACACAGAAGAGATGTGTGGGTTCAGATTTGAAGGAATGACTCCAGCAAATATCGTCCATATAGCGTTATTTCTCAAAATAAATTCCCACCTTTAGCACACTTTTCTCAATGCTTTTAATACTGTTTGACATAGTTCATATCACGAATCTGAAGAATTTAAAAAAATTTCAAACTAGTCTTCCTTCTGTTGAAAATATTTTTAGTAGACATGTACATGTACCAAAGAGTGTCATATGTTGTTTAAGCATGAGATAAAAAATGACCTGAAGTTTTACTTTTCAATGAATAAAACAACAGCTTGATCCTGTTTGTCTCTACTGATGTTTGTCTGGTGTTACAGTACCTGTAGTTCTCATTATTGTCTTTATTGTAGGACACAATGCATTCAATTTGTTTCAAACTTTGGTTTCAGCAAATTTCAAAGCGCTACCACGTTTTAAAACTCTATTATTTGTGAATTGTGGCTCACATTTGACAAGCAGTCGCAAAACATACATTTTACAGTTTGTCTGTTTATAAGTGGACGATGAAAATTAACAAAACTGGACTGGAATGAAAAAACAAACAAACAACCCAACAAACAAAACCAAACCTACAACAAATCACCCTTCTTTAAAAATCTTACTCCTTCAAAAGTCAATTCTTCACCTTGCAAGTTTGACTTTGTACTGGTTTTCAAAACTAATAAAAATAACACAGTAGCATCAATAAACGAGAACTTCTAGAATGCACACTGAACCCTGTACATATTCACATGTACATTCAAAATGTTAATATTTCCTTGTTATGTGCAGGTTTTTCATTCCTTTGACTAAAAGTTTTGAGTGCTGCTCTGCCAAGTCATTCCGTCACTAGGAAACAAGGACTACTTTTTCAGTACAACCTTCAAGTCATTACACATGCCCGCAGTATCCTATGGGAGGTACAATGTGTGTGTACCCCTCCTACATCTTTAGTCACAGAACATCCTTCAGGCTCTAACCATTTCTGGATCAAGCCTTGTACTTAATCCCTTGAGATTTTCCACTCCATTGCCTAATGCCCAAACCCTAGGGGCAGGTGGAATGCCCCTCACTAGTGTTTTCTCTCACTCTTTCTATACAGACCCAGGCTTAGGAACTAGTCCCCAAGTCAAGTGAAACTCCCGCCATCAAACCACAAAGGACCACCTGATCGGAAGTTGCATCTCCTGTGAACTGAACCCACAAAACAAACAGCTGATCATTTCCTGTCAGCTGTTGACTTTGAATAAAAGACCAGAGAGCTAAAATGTAGCACAACAGTGTCAAGCCGAACCTAACCCATGGGAGACCATTGAGAGAATGTACTCAGAATGAAGCGTAACTTTTACAATGACAACACAATTCAGTGTGTTAATTGCCTAAATTCAGGACTTAAGTATTTGGTACATTTCAGTGATACCGGTAGTGTTAAAGCAATTAGCTTAGGTTATTTGTACAGCCATCAATGTTCCTTTGTGAGTGAATGCTCTCTTTTGAATGAATGGAGGGAGGTAAGGAATACAAGGCTGGTACATGCGTGACCAATAACAAAAGAGGATTGGTCACTTCTCAAGAGGTTTGGCAAGTAACTGTTTCCGGTGTTGACCCTATCATAGAGAAAGGACTTAGGACCTTGTTCTACAATCCTATGGAGCCAAATACTTAAGTGTGTTAGGATTATTTGTGAGTGGTTTCACCTTTTCATGGATCACATTCAGGCCTTTTATCACTGATGATGTTAATCTTTTCTCTGTGCTCCATGGTAAAACTAAATATATTTCCAGTTTGGGAATCCATCTAAGTATATTTCCCTAAGTGAATTATCTGTCAACATACACATTACATGCACCTTTGAAGTGAATAAAGAATGATAATGAATTCTCTTTGAACAGAAAAAAGACATCCAAAATAAAATTTTAATCTGCATAAAAACCTACAGCCTTTCAATATGTAACACTGACAAATATCAAGAGGGTTAAAACAACAGGAATTTGGCTGTGAGGGAAAGCTGTATGTGTTTTTTACAGGATACAAACACATGGAAAGTGATGAGTCAGAAACGTATCTTCTTCACGTACAGTACCAAACAACCAAAACCCTGTAACAACCAGCCCCTCCGATTAATTCTCTAAAATCAGACAAAAAATAGGCTGAGGAGAACACAGCTTCAATGTATGAGGTACACAATTGATTTCAAACTATTACTATTTGTTTAGTAGGTAATTTTCATTGATTCATCACTCTTGGAAATTAGAAAATGCATTCTTAACTTACAAAATCATATGTCAGATGTGACAGGGACACAAAAATTGACCTCTAATTTCTGGAATTACCCATTGGGTAAAGTGATCACTGACCATTTAGGATATCATAGATACTGCACAGATGAAGAACAATAGTACATGCTTCTAGCTATTAATG